TGCCCTTCTCTGGACACGCTCCAGCACCTCGGTGTCCTTCTTGTAGTGAGGGGCCCAAAACTGAACACAGTACTCGAGGTGCAACCTCACCAGTGCCAAGTACAGCAGCACGATCATCTCCCTGCTCCTGCTGGCCACACTATTGCTGATACAAGCCAGGATGCCGTTGGCCTTCTTGGCCACCTGGACACACCGCTGGCTTGTAACAGTAGGCAGAGCCAGCAGCCATTTTGAAAGGTTCCAAATGTGCATCCTGAAGTGAGAGTGTTAGTCTAGCTTAAGAGCATGAGTATAAGCTACACATTAGGAAATGCCATGGATGGTACTGCTCTCCTGTTTTTGCTATCTGTGTGTTTTTTGGAGAGAAGACTTGTATAGTGAATCCAGCAGCCACAGTATATGGATCATTATATGGAGTTCAATATCCAGGACAAAAGATTATGAACATTGTGGTAGTCTTAAATAAATGAAAACCTACCCACAATTAGTGTTGTTGAAACAGGTTTTTGTTTGGGTGTGGGTTCCCCCCCCGCCCCCGAAGTGTTTTGGGGCAATGGGAAGCTTGCCAGTTGCTACAGACAGTGTCCAGCCAGCTTACTGTTGTAGGGCCTTCTATGAGATACTTAAGGTAGCATAACCCACTCTATGGTAGAGAAGTAGTGCTCGGTTCTTTGTTGACTAGATAGTGAGGCCCATCAGATGTGTTTGGTTAGATGAAGTGTCTTGAAATAGAAAATACTGTTTTTCATACAAAATACATTACATTCCTTTATTTGAACTGACCTTCAGCCAAGTACTGCTCAGGTGTGCTGGTGCAGAGGGAAAATAAACCTGAACTCCTTGAAAACCAGACCTGTCAAACTGGTGTATGGCAGGTTAATGCTCCTGAAGTATGCTTGCAAGCAAGAGGCTTCATTTGGAGTTTTGACAAATGTTTTCAGGAAGTACTATTAGCTAAGCTTTTGTAGCCTAAAGCTTGGATAGCCACCTGCCTTTGAACATTTTGGTTTTAGTGAGATTCTCTTTTCCGTTTGAATACCTACATTTTTATAGAAGTGGTTGATGGCCCCAAATTCTAAGGACTGATTGTGTTTTGGGGGTTAGTCAAACCATCATTTTTTGTACATATATATATATTATTACATGGTGGAAACAAAACAATATTTAAAAGGAATTGGGCAGGTAATACCGGACTTTTTAAAGAACTGATGGTTACTTAGGATGGTTCATAGTTGATTCCCTTAATACAGGTTAACTATAAGCTTGTAGGGACTGAGTTTTTGTAAAACTGTCTGAGCTCATGTGTTGCTTATTTACTTTCTCGCTGATGCCATCTGCTGGCAATATGCAGGATGTTTTGCATTGTGCTTCTAAATATGAACAGTAGCAAATGGCCCAGAACATGAGAGTTGTTTCACTTGCAGAATGAAAATTGAGGGCTTTTTAAAAATAAGGGTATATTTTGCTTTTTTTATTAATTTGAGAAAATAAAATATTATGTTCCTGTTTTCAAGTTACGAGAATGTCTTAAATCATAACATCCCAAGAGCATGGGAGAAGTTCTTGTGGTGCTTTTTATTTTGTTCTTTGTGATTATTTTGCGTAGTTGGAATTGCTAATCACAGTGCTAAACAAATGTATATGACACCTTAGCTAAATGCCATGGTCAGTTTATCATGGTAAGATTCATTTATTTTAGGGCATAATGTTAGGATTTTGGTCTAACTTCAGATATATCACATTGTGATGCAGACAGTTTTGATGAAAACTAAAATCACCATAAACGTCTCCCTCAGTTAAGAGGCAAAGAGTGCAGTTGTTTGAGGTGAAGCTGAAATATGTGATATACCTGGAAGACTGACAAGCTTAGTACTTCAGTCTGTGACAGATCTGGCTTGTGTCCAAAAATACAAGCAAGGAAAATTTCGTAGTGTTCTTTCAGATGTGAATGCTTACACTTTTTGTTCCTGAAAACTTGATTTTTGGGATATCTGTAAGAATGCTAATGATGAGATTAAGGGGAGTGTCTTTAATACAATAGTTAGCACCTTACTACTTGAGCCAAAAATTTTTTATAATTTGTTTTTAAAGGTACTCCTTCACAAAGCTCTCTAATTCTGAGATGCCTATTTGAGAAGAAGGCCTTGACCGTTGGACAAAGGATAGTATGGAGGGTGTGTTTTCTGTTTAAGGTCAGGGTTATGCACGTGGTAGGCAGAAGAGGGCTAACAAGGAATTCAAAGAAGGACATACTAAAGTGTTGGCAGACCTGTCTGCCAGAGTTAGAAGGTTGTCTGTTCTGTGAAGAGGTCGTACTCATTCTGTCCTGCTTATGAGACGAATATCACTTTTTCTATTGACTGTAAAGGAAACCTGATGATTAACTTGAATGCCCCACCACCATCTTCCTGTATTTCTCAGTCTTCGCGCTGTTCCCCACCCCAGTCTAGCATTTGAGTGGATAAATGGAACAGTAGCAGTTAGATGCTCACTAGAGCTTTCAGTTTTTTATAATTTAAAGAAATATCTGTGCCCCCTCTGGATAAGCATTTGAAAAAAGCTTTGCAGAAAGCTGACTGTGCACTGATGTTGTGTTTATGTTAACACTTTTCTAATACAAAGATTTAATTGTCTTTGTGTCTCACCTAAATTTCTCCCACACTTTTTCTGGCTTTCCTTGCTCAAGTAAAGTTGTGCTTCTTCCGTTTTAACCCTGTATTCTGAATCTGTTTTATGGGTATTAGAATATAGTTAGGGATAAATGCATTTGTTTCTGTATTTTAATTTTTGGAAGTGTAATGCTTCTGCTTCCCACAGCTGTTACACCTCTAAATACTAAACTTGGTTCTCTTAGGTGGTGTATAAAATTGTTAGAAGTAGGTAGAAATGGATTTAGGGAGTAGAGTGTACTGTCTTGCTGCATATTTTGCAAGAGATTTAGAGTACCTTTTTAACTTTTGTAGGCTGTTGATGAAATACACATGACCTCTCTTCTTAGGACATTTCCATTCTGCTATCTTCCACTGAGTGCTCCCATGTTGATGTAGCTGGTATTTAGGTTGTTGTTTTAATATTTGTTTTTGATTAAGGAAACTCTACTAAACTAATTGTGGCGTTGCTGAAGCATGGATTATACCTGAATTCCACCCCTGTCCTGTATAAGTAAGCCTTCCTGCTCTGAAGGCTGAGGATTTTCCATGTACTGAAGCAACAAGACCTAGGTTGAGCACTGAACGTGTAGTGGTTAAGAGTAACCATGCTGTTGCTTTTCCCATCCCATAAATGATGAGGAGTAGTGGGAGAAGCAATGCAGTGGTCGAGACCCTCTTGAACTGGAGAAGGATTATTTCTGTCCTAGCTGTGGCGGATGGATAATCAATGCCTCATTCTTTGGTATTTTAATTGGCTAGATCATCAGAAGGATTAACTGGACAACGATAATGGTGTGTGAACGCTGCACCAGTGCATTATGTCAGTAAATAGGTACAGGCAAATCTGTTCCAAAGGCCCAGCTTTTCCAACTTTTGTCTGTTTTTTAAATCATGGATTTGTTGAACCTGGCAAATTCTGAGCTGGTTCTAGAAGGTAATTCCAATAAACTCTTGAGTAAAATAATTTTCAAGATGAGAAGTGGTGTAAGAGGGTAAATGAGGATTTTTCTGGGTTTATGAGATAGTGAAGGGCAAGTCTCCTTCTCTGGAGATATTGAAGACCCGCCTGGACAAGGTCCTGTGCAGCCTGCTGTAGGTGACCCTGCTTCGGCAGGGGGGTTGGACTGGATGACCCACAGAGGTCCCTTCCAACCCCTATCATTCTGTGAAAAATACCCCACTGATACCTGTTTTAACTTAAGGTTTAGAAATACCAATTTAATTTGAAAGATCAGTTCATGGAACTACGAAGATATTTGTGATGGGAAATAGACTGCATGCGTAATAAAACTAAAATTGGAAAAGTGAACTGGGCTTGATTTGTGATGTGAGTCAAAAGGTGCTTCAGTTCTAGAGATTGGTATTTTGCCCAGCTTTTCAGTGGTTAAAAAAAACAAACCCACAAAAGAGACCCCAAGAAACAAATCGACAAAAAAACCCCACCAAACCAAAAACAAGACCAAAAAAATCACAGGTAGCTGGGTTCGTTTGAAGTTTGTCCTGGTCTGATTGAATCATATGGTGCAATGAAAAAGCTACGAGTTGCTGACAAGAAGCGTCTCAGTCATGAGCATATGTGCAGACGAGTGTAGCTGCTGAGGAGAGGTAACGAAGGTGTAATTCCTCGTGCTCAGGAAGATCTTACGATTTCAGTGTTGCTGTATCTGTCCTGTCTGTCGTGTTGTGGTTTAGTGCACGGAAACCGTAGTTTGTGTGTTAGAGAAGGCACCGCCTTTCACTGCGAAACCTTCTCTCGCAGACTTTGTCATTTGCTTTCTGTTCCGTAGCGATAGATGGATGAATGGCCTTTCTTAGAGAGATGGGCGCGTTTGTCGAAGTGGTGCGCCGCCGCCGCCGCCAGGTGTCGCTGCAGGGCGGCGCG